GGTGTGCAGGTGTGCACACGCATTTATGTGTCACTAGAACATGGGGTGTGGCGACAGATGAGGCTGGAGAGGGAGGCAGAGCCAAGTCACAAGGGCCATGAGTGACACTGTAACAAATGTGGACTGAATGTGTCAGAGAGGCACTGCTGAAGGCGTAGATGGCAGTGGTAAGATCCGGCTTGTCTTCTGGATGATCTACTGAGCAGTTCTTGGCGGGATGGGTTTAGGGGCAAGATTAGAGTTAAGGATGTTAGAAGGCTTTTTTTTTCCCCTAACTGTTCAATCAGCTCTGTGGGCAACACCTTTCTTGGCTCATCCCTTACCCTGAAACTTTGCCTAGCAGGTCGTGTCTGCAGAGAAGTGTTCGTGAGGAAGTGATGCTGTGTAAGCAACGCCTATGCGGGTGCTGGGGGTGGGGAGAGGTAATGCCAACATGTAACAAGAGTGGTTGGGCTCGGCTCTTCACACAAGTGCGTTTGCCAGAGTCCAGGGTCTGTCTCCTGGTTTGCCACTGCCCTAGAGCACATCCGTTCCCCACGGTCCACAGTCACATAAGCCTGGCTCATGAGGTTTATTTACAAGCATCACAACATACTGATTAGTGATGAAAAACAACCATTGTGGGGTTGGAATATTCCCACGTCAGCTGGCTTGAAGCTGCTTACCGAGAGCACGGAAAGGGACACAACCAGATATTGTCAGATTTTGATGAAAAGACACAAGAAAACTTCTGCTAAAGGGATTGAACCCGAGTCTGATCCAGCCTCTGGATCCTGTTGCCAATTTTCAGGAAAGATGCGGACTGAGGTACAAGTGAGACTTCACTGTGAGTGAGGACACGGTGAGCCAAGTCCAGGTTGGGGACAATTCTGCAGCTCGAACATCCTAGGTTATTCAAGAGACACATTGTAAGCAAGCAAGAGGGAGAACACATAGACAAGAAGAGACCAAAAGATGTATCAGGTGAAAAATGAGCAAGATGAAATTTTAGAAGTTGTGAGAATGCTCAGTGGGTTGATAGAAAGAAACTCAGGGACATGATCACAGTAAAAGCCAGGGCTGTGGTACCTTGGCAGGGGTGGGTGATGACTGAGACGGTGGGGCGTGGAGGGGTTTCTGGGGGCCTGCAAAGTTGTGTTTCATAATCTGGGTGGTGTTTACTACAGGGTTAACTTTACAATCATTTGTGAGGCTCTACATTCGCTTTGTGGGTTTTTTGCATATGGGTTATATATTTTACTTAACCTTTTTGTTAGAGGGGATTAATGACAAAGCAATGTAACTTAAGAGATGAGTGAGGATGAGCTGGGAGCATGGCTGGAAGAATTAAGACTCGGAAGGAGAACTGACACTTATTCCTCTGAAAGAGAAAGAAAAGAGAAAAAGAAATATATATTAATAGGTATCTGCTTGCTTACTGAGTGGGTGGCCCAAAGGTAAATGACTGCAAACCCTTGGACTTCTGTTTTTTTCTGAACTAGAAACCCAAATCATCTGCTGAGAGCAGGATGGGCTGTGGGTGGGCAGGGACGTCAAACAGCACCCGAAGTTGCCTAGGAGACGTGGAAGCGATGGCCAGTCTCTGAACCCCGCATGCTCGCGGGATTGTGTGATCTCTAGCGGCTTCCAGAAGCCCAGGCGTAGAAGCACTTCTGTGCATGGCTTTTCTTCTGTGCAGTGTGATAGAAGGAGAAAGAAAAACAGTTCATGCTCCAGAGAAAAAAAAAAAGTTTCGCTGTGATGTCATTTGGCTCATAGATGTTACCCAGGGAGATGAAAGGTTAATGTTTGGTCTCGGTTAAAGTTGTTCCCCCCAAAGATGGTGAAGTCCTGACCTGCAGGACCTGTGGATGTGGGAGCAGGGTCTCTGCAGATTGGGGTTAAAACGAAGTCACTAGGATGGGCCCTCACCCAGTACGACTGTGTCCTCATAGGAGGGACAAAATGAGACATGGGCACAAACACATACGGAGGCCTCATTTGATTTCATTACCAGTCTTCGTAGTAAGTCGCACCGATGGAGTACAGCCCATCTTACAGGGGAGAAAACTGATGTTTGGAGAGGCAAGGCCAGTGCCTGACTGAAAGCTCATCACGCTGAGTCCAGGTCCGAACTCAGGTTGTCTGATTCTGGGTTCCATGTCCTTTATGCAACATCAGAGAGAGGCTCTGTAAAGCTCCAAACACTTTGTAAGCCGTCAAGCGAGCTTGACCTTCAGTCCCTCAAAGCAAGAGTTTCAGCACGAATTCTCTGTCCAGCACGTGTTCTGCGGGGCGCCCTAAGATGCGTGTTGATGGTGTCAAAAGGCTTTGCCCACGCTCTTTGGGAGGCTCTAATTTCCCTAAATAGTTCGCAGCTACACCAGAACTGGGCTGGTCGTCCTTTAATTCTTCTGCAGACAAGAGACGTGCTAAGTTGTGTGACTCTCATTTATGATTTGTGTGAACTTGTCATTAATTCCATCTGTGCTTCACGTGCTTTGCTTTTTAAATCGGGAGGATGTTATCTACCTGGCATTTCTTTCTTTCTTTCTTTTTTCAGTGTGAGAGCTGGAAAACAACTACTGAAAATTCTTTGTCAGCTCTCTAATGTGGCTGTACAGTTCTCCGCACACTGCAGGCATTTGTTCAGTGGAGGTACAAAGACGCCCACAGCATCCTACCAGTCAGTCAGGGCCTACGTTAGGGCTGTTTCCACAGTAGGAATTCAGTTTGCAAGTGGCACTCAAGAAGTGTATTTTAATGGTGAGGTGTCACGTGCAGAGCCAGCCCTCCCGTTGGCTGGACAGCTCAGTGGAGCATGCAGCTCAGTGGTGCTCCTGTTTCTGAAAGGTCCACTGGCCCTGCAGCTCCCCGTGTCCTGAGAGCTACATATACAGGGACTGTCCTGTCTCTCAGCGGCCTCTCTGCTGATTGGTTCAGCCATGAAGAGCTTACTCATGGTCCTGGCAGTCCTTCTTTTGCTCTCCTGTGTTCCACCAGGTAAAACAGAACCCCCTTCCTGTGGAATTATGAGCAGTTAAGGGAGAGAGGGTGTGCGGTCCTACAAGAGTGAGAAGGGAGCTGGACTGGGATGAAGGACGTTGACAAAGGAGGGATGGAAGCAGAGATGGAAGCTCTGGGCTGTTCCAGGGAATGGAGACCAGAGGCTCAGGACACATCATAATTTCAAAGAAGAAACCAGTCCTGGGTTTTGGTCTGGGGGGCCTGTGAAGTTTGAGGGGAAAGTTGGATGGATGGTATTAGCGGAAGTGGGGCAGAGCAAAAGCACGAGACCTTTAGAGGACAGGTGGGATTTGGGGGTGGGCGGGGGGCTGCTCCTTTAGGACTCTTAGAACTTGCAGCCCAGAGTCAGTTATCTGGGCGACTTTTTCACACATTTGGAAACCAAGGCAAATAGGATGCTGAGCAGACTCAGCACACAGACCTAGTGGTCCAAGAGTGTCAACGTAAAGTATGATGGGAGCCCGTGGAGACCAGCTTGAGGGGCTAGTTTATGTCCTCTGGATGGGAGCCAGCAACTTGATAATCCTGAGGAGGGTCCACTTAAGTCACTAAAGTGGAGATTATCAAAAACCGTTTTGCTCATGGTTTGCTGAAATCTGCGGAAAGCTTTTACCCTTTGCCCCCAAGCTTCATATGCTAAAGGTACGACTTAAAGGCCAAAGGTGAAGCGTTCAAAAGGCAGATGTGGTAGCTCACAGCGGAAAAAAAAAATGTGACAATGCATATATGTGTGTTCATGTATAACTGAAAAATTGTGCTCTACACTGGAACTTGACACAACATTGTAAAATGACTATAACTCAATTAAAAAATGTTAAAAAATAAATAAGAACAAGAGCGATTACAATTCTGAGAGCTCAGATTTGATTGCAAAAGCTTAATTACCATGTTGTTAAAGCAGCTCTGAGATTAAAACTCAGATTTATACTAAAACTCTTTAGGCTCATCTATGATTTAAAACCTTTATTTCCGATCAGGAATGTAAATGTATGCCATATTTTCACATGAGGATGGGTAAAATTATCTGGTCTTTATATTAAACTCTACTGAAAAACTCTTAAAAAAAAACAACCAAAAGGCAGATGAGGACTATGATATTTCTGCTGCTGTCCTGGTAGCAGGACTTCCGGACACACTGTCTCCACTTGGACTCCTTTGTCCCGAGAGAGGTGCCCGAGGGCCAATGGGCACATGAAAGGCAAATTTGCTTGCCAAGGGCCTTTGGTCATACCACAGAAATTACTCTCACACCTCAAAGGCCTGCGGGCCTGCTGGGTGGAGAGACACAGAGTGGATAATTCGGTTGGGTGGCACAGAGCTACCTTCACCCGCTTAAAGTGACTTTCTGCTTCTCCTCCCCAGCCCCTTGGCTTCCAGAGGCACCCAGGCCTTAAGGTTAGGAAACACACTAGCAATTGATTTAGATGCATATTTCAGGTATTTCCAACCGTTTCACACTTATTATCCCACGGGATGCTTCCAAGCACCCTGCGATTAAGCCCAGGCGGACTGTAAGGCTTGGGGCAAAAAGTCGAACAGGATGCTATTGGGAAGACAGGGCTGGGCCACGGGCCTCTGTAATTCTGCACCAGTGACCTTTCCTTCTTCAAGCTGACCCTCTGATCAGCTCAAACTGCCTTGTTACTAGACCCTGCATGCATGGGGCCATGGCAGACTCCTGGGTCTACTCTGAGGTCTAAATGTTTTTTTTTTTCCCATAGCAAATAGTCCCAGGTGGATCTGTAGGGCCTTGTTACCTGCACCTAGCTGAATAGTTCATGTGAATGGGGACCATGGGATCTAGTGACTTATCACAGGGTCTCTAGTGAACAAGAACAACAGAAAAAGGGGGTGTCCAGCCCTAACACGAGTGGGGTCTTGGGATCCTGTCCAATTTCCTATTAAAAACTTGTAAAGTATAGCCTTCAATCTAATGTAGCCCTGGCTTTATGACCCTGCAAGCGATGTGCATTCACTTCTGTTTTTGTTGGCAGTTAGAAGTGGACCGAATGCGTACATAAGAAACTTCTTTAATACATGCTGGAGAATGAAGGGTCTTTGCAAGGGAAAATGTTCAAGCAGTGAAATATATCACATTTTGTGTGACACGTCACTTCTGTGCTGCGTGCATAAAAAGTATGTGCCTTTACAGCTTGGGAAATAGTTGTGAGTATCTGAGGTCCCTGCTGAATTCCTCCGGGGACCTTCTGAGATGCGCAATCCCATTAAAACAATGGCTTTGGCCCATCAATGTTTCTGTGTCTGCTGTGTTTTCATTTAGAGGCGTTCATTGCCTCTCTCATGGAAACAAATCTCTTAGTTAAATTCCCTGTCTTCAGTATTTTTCTTTTTGTTGATTTATTCCTATTAAAATTTTCCTAAAAACTTTTTGGAAGTATAACATACAACCATAAAAGTGTACAAATCATACAGGAGCACCTTAATGAATTTCACAAGTTTAACACATTCATGTAACCTACACCCAGGCAAAAAAAAGAACAGTATAATAATATCCCAGTCACCAACAGTTACGACTCCACAAAAGACAGTCCCCAGCCTGACTTCTAATAGCATTAAGTCCTGGTACCTGTTTGTGAACTTAATAAAAATGGAATCATACAGTAGGTACTCCTTTGCGTCTGGCTCCTTCTAATCTACGTTGCTTTCAATGACATTTATTCTTATTGTTTGATAGAATGGCAATTTATCATTTTATTTTCAATGTTGTATAGCATCACATGGGGGACTAGACCGCGATTTATTTGAGCATTCTAATGTAGACGGTCATTTGTGTAGTTTTCAGTTTTTGGCACTTTTAAATAGTGCTGTGATGAACATTCTTGGGTGTGTTTTCTGAGGCTTAAACGCGAGAATTTCTGTGGGTATACACCCAGGAGTTGAAGTGCCCGTCGTAGGCTATGCCTACGCTCAGTTTCAGTAGATATTGCCAAACTGTTTCCCGAATTGGTTGTACCAGTTTCCATTTCCACCCACAGTGTCTGAGAGTCCTTGCTGCTTTATAGCCTTTTCCACAACTGGTATTTTCTGCCCTTCTCCCGCATTGTGGGAGGTATGTAGTAACAGTGTCTGGAGGTTTAATTTGCTTTTCACTGATGGCTAATGAAGCCAAGTCCAAGTTCCTTCTCACTTGTTCATTAGCTATTAGATATCCTTTTTTTTTTTTTTGGTGATGTCCTGTTCAAGCCTTTCATCCATTTTTCTATTGGATTGTCTACCTTTTTCTACTTGGGAACCTTGTAAGGAACACTCATTATTTGACATTGGAAGTAATAAAGTGAAATTCGTATTGAAAATATTTAAGTTTAAATATGGAGTATGTTGCAGTCTACAAGGCACAAGTTCTAGACATTTTTTGCTGCTTATGGCCAGGACATAAAAGTGTTTCAGCTCTTAAGAATCATTAAATTTCATTAGCCTAAGCAAGATCAATCACTCAAGTTAATAATGATTTACCCCCGTCCCTTCTTTTTTGATTAGGTTTTTAGGAGGAATTAAGCCAATGAGCAAAGCGGTGCTCCCAATATGACGGGGAGACAAAGACTATAGTTGCCTCTGATGGACAGACTCCCGGGAGGGAGCACTATCAAAGTTCAGAGCTTTAAACAAACACTGCTGGGATGGGTGAAGTACCCTCCCATGCATATTACATCCTAAGACTGAACTAGATTCTTTTGATTCTTCTAAGAAAAGGACAAAGGAGATTGATTGTAAGCACAGCCAGGTCATCTTTCAGCGTCATTAACATCATTCCCGCTGTTCACGTGCGAGTTCTTGCTCAGGTGGGGAGAGTGAGTGGTACAGGTGGTTTCTTCCTTACCTGCTACAACCAACAAACAGGGACCCTCCCCTGCCCCCTCCCGTCCCCCTTCTCTTTAGTGTGTACAGTTGTTCGCTCATTTCGCTCATGTGCGTTTATGGAATAGGCTGGACTTCATCCATCTAACTTAGTAGCCATCTGTGATACAGGAATTTAATCAGGCTTCTGAATGCCAGGGGACTTACAATTGTACTGGGTTGAGCTTCCTCATCTTGTTTACATCAAATCACCCCTTTACTGCTGAGAGACCTTGGATGTGTCTTATGTGACTTCCCCATAAATTCCTTCATGCTCTTCCTCTTTGTGTGTCTGCTACTGGAAATTTGACTGGAAGGTGGAATCTTCCCTTTGTAGTTGCCACTGGCGTTGTCGCTGTCCCAGCCACGCTGATGTCTCTCAGTATTCCCTGGGGGCAAAAGAAAAGGCTGCCACATTTCCATAGGCTTCTCTGAGCCCGCCTTGTGCTCCGATCCATACTGAGATAGGGTAAATTTACTCCTGTACTTTTTCATCACCTAAGCATCAAATCAATGCTACTTATGATCTCAGTTCTCACAGAGTCCTTTTTATAGCATTATTAAAAAAATTAATTTATTTAAACAAACAACCCCCCCCCAGTGCACTAGTTTCTCCCACCTTCCCCATCCCCTTCACCTCTTGCAACCACCAATCTGCTTTCTATATCCATGAATTTTTTTTAAGATTGCATATGTTAGAAAGATTACATTATATCTGTTTTTCTCTGACTCATTTCACTTACAATGCCCTTGAGGTCCACCTTTGTTGTCGCAAATGACAAGATGTTTTTTTATGTCCAACTAATATCTCATCGTATATACATGCCACATTTTCTTTATCCATTCATTCATCAATGGACACTTAGGTTCTTTCCATATCTTGGCCATTGTAAATAATGCTGCAATAAACAGAGGTGCATATGTATTTTTGAATTAGCGTTTTTGTTTTCTTCTGATAAATACTCAGAAGTGGAATTGCTGGACCATATGATAGATCTATTTTTAATTTTTTAAGGAATCTCTATACTGTTTTCCATAGTGGCTGTGCCAAGTTACATTCCCACCAACACTGCACAAAGATTCCCTTTTCTCCACATCCTCACCAGCACTTATTATTTTGTATCTTTTTGGTAATAATCATTCTACTAGGTGTGAGGTGATACCTCACGGTGGTTGTGGTTTGTATTTCCCTGATGGTTAGTGATACTGTGGATCTTTTCATGTACCCGTGGGCCATGTAAGTCTTCTCTGGAGAGGAGTAAATAAAATTAGAAATGAAAGAGAAGACACTATAACTAATACCACAGAAATACATAGTATCATGAGACCATTTTAAACAATTATATGCCAACAAATTGGATAACTCAGAAGAAATGAATAAA